GTCAACTTTTTACTTAAACAACTTCTTTTCAGTAACCAAAAGGCCTAGGATAATGATATTTGGCCAGTAGCATCCTGGAATCAAGGGCTACCAAGTTTGTTCAAATGAATGACCTTCATCCATTTTCAAGGTCACAGGAGTCAAATATGTTAAAATCTTTGAACGACTTCTTCTGAAGAACCAAGAGGCATAGGGTGATGATATTTGGCCAGTAACATGCTGGGATGAAGGGCTACCAAGTTTGTTCAAACAAATGACCTTCTCCCATTTCCAAGGTCACTGGGGTCAAATATGTCAAATCTTTGAACGACTTCTTCTGAATAATCAAAAGGCCTAGGGTGATGATATTTGGCTTTTAACATGCTGAAATTAAGGGCTACCAAGTTTTTTCAAACAAATGACCTTCACCCATTTTCAAGGTCACAGGGGTCCAATATGTTTAAAACCTTTAAACAACTTCTTCTCAGTAACTAAAAGGCTAAGGGTGATGATATTTGGCCAGTATCATGCTTGGATGAAGGGCTACCAATTTTGTTCAAACAAATGACCTTCGCCCATTTTCAAGGTTGCAGGGGTCAAATATGTTTAAAACCTTTAAACAACTTCTTCTGAACTACCAAGAGGCCTAGGGTTATGATATTTTGCCAGTTAGATGCTGGGATGAAGGGCTACCAAATATGTTCAAATGAATGAACTTCGCTCATTTCCAAGGTCACAGGGGTCAAATATGACAAAATCTTTGAACGACTTCTTCTGAATAACAAAGAGGCCTAGGGTGATGATATTTGGCCTTTTGCATGCTGGGATGAAAGGCTACCAAGTTTGTTAAAACAAATGACCTTCACCCATTTTCAAGGTCACAGGGGTCAAATATGTTTAAAACCTTTAAAACTACTTCTTCTCAATAACCAAGAGGCTGAGGGTTATAATATTTGGCCTGTAGCATGCTGGGATGAAGCGCTACCAAGTTTGTTAAAATGAATGACCTTGACAATTATTCAAGGTCACAATGGTCAAATATGTTTTAAACCTTTAAACAACATCTTTTCAATAACCAAAAGTCCTAGGATGATGCTGTTTGGCCAGTAGCATGCTAGGATAAAGGACTACCAAGTTTATTCAACTGAATGACCTCAACATATATTAAAGGTCACAGGGGTCAAATATGTTTAAAACCTTTATAAACGACCTCTTCTCAATAAGCAAAAGGCGAAGGGTGATGATATTTGGCCATTAACATGCTGGGATTAAGGACTATCAGTTTTTTTTCAAATAAATGACCTTCACCCATATGCAAGGTCACAGTGGTCAATATATGTTTAAATCTTTAAATGTTCTGTATAACCAAAAGATCCAGTAATGATATTTTGCAAGAAGCATGCTTGGTTGGACGATTATAAACTCTGTTCAACCTTATGTCCTTGTTCGACATTCAAGGTCACAGGCATCATATGTTTAAACCTTTAATAGGTTCTTATGAGTCAAACACTGATATTCTGCCTGTAGCTGTATTTTAGTCCACTTTAAAGATTATTTGTGAGATTAATACCAGGTTAGCGATTCAGGCCCATTGGGTCTCTTGTTTTACATCATCCATCTACAGACTTTATTTCTTATCCAATGGTCATGAAACTTCACATACATGTTCACAAACATCTCTTTGAAACAGTTTGTGTTTTGACCTTGTGATGCCATAACAAAGGTCACTTTTACGAAATACCCTTTTACAAATTGTAAAGATTGTTCTGAAACAACTCTTGTATGAGTTGATGTTCAACTTTTCTAAGATCATAATTGCAATAACTAAAAGTATTGTCTTTGAAGCCTTGTTATTTTTAACAGTAAAACAACAACGATATTTATGTACAGCTTAATGAGACAATAGAAATTACTGCAAGGGGAAAATTTCTCATGTAACATTTATCAATTTTAATTTATGTATTATCAATTTTGTTTTAATACTCAGAGGCCCCCATTATCGACCTGCTGCCACAGAGTCAGGAAGTGGTGGTAGATGGGATCATACAACTGTTGTGTGGGGCCAGCGGTGTCCCTTCACCCATCATACGCTGGGAGAAAAATGGACAGCCAGTAGCAGGTCAGATGCTTTGAAGTCTCTTTGTAGGGATAATTTGGAGTATTGTGGGAGTAGGAATAATGAATCACATCAGCTTTTTAATGGGTTTTATTCTCACCAAATCAAAAGTCCATTCATAGTTGCCCAAATTGCTTGGATCATAAAAATATAAGATTTGTTGCAAATGAATCTTAAAACAATTTAAAACACATCTTATTTTGTGATACCTGTACAAAAATTTAATACGAACAAAAAAATGTACTGATGACAATAAAATTGGGAGTTTCAGATATTCGTCTATTTCTTAATCACTAGCTGCTATCAGTCTTCTTTATGAAATCATGTGTCATCTGTAACCAATTAAGAACCACAGAAGCTATTGACTCCAAATTTGTTCCTTTTGACCGCTCTAGAACAGCAGCAGAGAGTGACATCAAAACTTGGTACAAATGTTCCATTATAAGGTCCTAAACAAGGGTTGTTTCTTTGTATGCCAATCCTAAAACCTTGATGGCCATCTTGGCCTCCTATTGACAGAGACATTTCTGACTTCTCCAAAATGGCTACAGCGATTGACTTTAAACTAGGTCCTGATGTTGCTGATAAGGTCACCACCAAGTGTTGTAACTTTCTATTCCGATTTGAGAATCCAAGAAGGCTGTACATACATGCCATTGATTGGCTGAGGTATTTGTTACCTTATCTGAAGAACAGTTGCAGAGATTGTTCCAAAGCTCTTTACCCAAATTCCTTATGAGGTCTTACTCAGTGTTCTCAATATTTTTTGTGTCAATGCTAGAGTCAAAGTTGAATGTCCTGGCATTCGATTGGCCAAGACATTTCCTACTTCTCTGGAACAGCTGCATTGACATCATATTTAAGTGTGACTGTAGTATTAAAGGGATAATTTTATGAAGTAAGTTTAAAAATAATCTTTTCACAAAATTCTTTATGAAAATATAGTTAGATACTCCTTATCAATTACCATTTTTTTCTTGGCATTTTTAACCAAAAATGAATGAAGAAATCCTTAATGGTATAGCTATCTGTTTTTATCGGCAGCTGTCGATGAACTTCTAACTAACTGAGGATGCGCAAACAGTTTTTTTTTTGTAAAGAAAATATATTTCTAGCTAAGGCTTGGAAGTAAAGTTACGCTTTATAGTCAGCAAATTTTCAATTGGAAGACAAGTACAGGCATTTATTTTGAATCAATAGCACCTTTCCAAACAAATTTTCAATCATTGTTATAAATGAGTAATTTACTTTATGTTTAAACCTACTGATATCTTATGTTGTGCACATTTAAATACTCCCTATGGAACCCTCTTTTATAGCCATCAAATCTAAACAAAAAAATAAATTGTATTTTGGGCGATTTTATTTAGCTGTCTATTAAATTGTAATTGATCTGCTGTTCTTTTCTTTCCAGACAAGCAGAACATTGGTGGCAAGAGCTTGTTGATGGTTACCAATGCTAGGAGGGAAGATGGTGGCCTCTACACATGTATTGCTGAAAACCCTGCTGGTATAGCGACGGCGTCAGCAACAGTTCTTATGTCAGGTAGGTCTTAGTTCTCATGTCAGGTAGGTGTGAATTCTCATGTCAGGTAGGTCTTAGTTCTCATGTCAGGTAGGTCTTAGTTCTCATGTCAGGTAAGTCTTTGTTCTCATGTCAGGTAGCTAGGTCTTAGTTCTCATGCCAGGTAGGTATTAGTTCTCATGTCAGGTAGGTCTTAGTTCTCATGTCCGGTAAGTCTTAGTTCTCATGTCAGGTCGGTCTTAGTTCTCATGTCAGGTAGGTCTTAGTTCTCATTTCAGGTAAGTCTTAGGCCTCATGTCAGGTAGGTCTTAGGTCTCATGTCAGGTAGGTCTTAGTCCTCATGTCAGGTAGGTCTTAGTTCTCATGTCAGGTAAGTCTTTGTTCTCATGTCAGGTAGCTAGGTCTTAGTTCTCATGCCAGGTAGGTATTAGTTCTCATGTCTGGTAGGTCTTAGTTCTCATGTCAGGTAGGTCTTACTTCTAGGTCTTAGTTCTCATGTCAGGTAAGTCTTAGGCCTCATGTCAGGTAGGTCTTAGGTCTCATGTCAGGTAGGTCTTAGGCCTCATGTCAGGTAGGTCTTAGTTCTCATGTCAGGTAAGTCTTAGGCCTCATGTCAGGTAGGTCTTAGTTCTCATGTCAAGTAGGTCTTAGTTCTAGGTCTTAGGCCTCATGTCAGGTAGGTCTTAGTTCTCATGTCAGGTAGGCCTTAGTTCTCATGTCAGGTAGGTCTTAGTTCTCATTTCAGGTAGGTCTTAGTTCTAGGTCTTAGTTCTCATGTCAGGTAGGTCTTAGTTCTCATTTCAGGTAGGTCTTAGTTCTAGGTCTTAGTTCTCATGTCAGGTAGGTCTTAGTTCTCATTTCAGGTAGGTCTTAGTTCTAGGTCTTAGTTCTCATGTCAGGTAGGTCTTAGTTCTCATTTCAGGTAGGTCTTAGTTCTAGGTCTTAGTTCTCATGTCAGGTAGGTCTTAGTTCTAGGTCTTAGGCCTCATGTCAGGTAGGTCTTAGTTCTCATGTCAGGTAGGTCTTAATTCTCATGTCAGGTAAGTCTTAGTTCTCATGTCAGGTAGGTCTTAGGCCTCATGTTGAGTACAAAGGTAAGTCTGTTTTAGACTTTATATGAGGTAGGTCTTGGTCATCATGTCGGACAGATCTCTCTTATTTCTCCCCAGTATCCTTAGTATATATACCTGATGCAACAAAGGATGTGATAAATGGGATATACACTGGAATCAGTGTTTTGAATCACCTTTGGGATGGTCCTTGGCGATGTCTTGGTAACTAAGACAGGTAAATTTAAACTGGCCGCTTAATCAGCACAGATAATGAAAACCGGATCATGATACAGATTTTACTTGTGTATTCTGGTAAAAGATTGTGCGATAGATTTGCAGAATAGTTCTTTTGGATTTGGATGTGGGTGTGTTTGAATTGTGCCAAAACAAATCAGAGCCTTTGCCCGATACCATTAAATTACACTGATAGCATCAGTTTGCGAATCGTAGCAACATTGCAGCATGGTACTTTTGAAAGGCAATTTCTTCAGTAGTTAACAGTTAACAGATTTTTAAAAATTGGTTCAAAGCACAGCTGGGCCAAGGGGATTCAGTTTTAATTTTATGATTTCAACAAATTAATTTTAAATTATCTCTGCCAATAGAATTCATTTCCAGGTTAACTGTTTAAAGGCTCGAGATCACATGTATTTGTTTCATTGACTGAATGCATTATAGATCATTTAAGTTTACATAGAAAACACTTGAATTGGACATTACCAAAGTTGACTAGACCCTGATTACAATTTCTGTAAGTCTGATTTGAGCATGAAAATGTAATAGTGCATTTTACTGTCACAGTGCCACCCAGAGTAACAGTTCCTGATGGAAACGCAGTGGTCAGTATAGCAGAGAAGGTGATGCTGACCTGCTCTGTAGGGGGAGACCCTCAGCCAGATATCTACTGGACAAAGAATGGACGCCCAGTCCTGTATAATGACCGCATCATGGTGCTTCATAATGGCTCACTTGTAATTTATGATGCCACGGTAAGTTGTTAACATTAAGACCATTCCAGCATTTCAATCATCCTGTTTATACACCTCAACAATGGGGGGCATACCATATTTCACCCAATAAGCACTTGGGGCACTTGAATTAAATTCTTTTTGAAATGGGGACCCGAATAACAATAATTTTCAATGCGAATACTTTTGTCATTCGCTCAAAGAGTATAGTCTGGAAAACAGTTTGTCGGGAAAACATTTAAAGTATGATAATGTAAGCTGAGATCCGAAGTTGAATGTGAAATCTGCACTTGTTTTCTTCCATCCTTTGTCATTTGGTATTAATCAATGCGACTGATATTTTGTTGGAGAGATGAGATTTGCTTGTCCAGACAGCTTTTACCTCGATCAGGTCTTCATAGATCAGTATTATGACAAGACGGTGTGTTGCATATCACACAAAGGTACACACCCTCAATGTCAAGGTCATAGCAAAGGGTCAAATGTCATTCACTGCTCCATCTGCAATTTTTGCAATCATTGAGCATTTTGGGCTAAAACATTTCAGGAATTATGACTAGGATAATTTTCACACGACTCTTAACAGGTCTGTCCAGTCAAGGAAGAGGCATTAACATCCCAAAATTTTATAGATACACAGTGTGTTACACATTTAATATCACCATCAAGGTCAAAATCGCAGTGGGGGTATAGGTTTGTGAGCTTCCATTTACTTTGTGTTTACTTTTTACTCATTCGACAAATTGTAAACAATAAAGGTTGAATATTTTACGTACAGGTAATTTACATCTATTATGTAGAGCCAGAACCACATTTCTTGGCATGTATGGTTCCATTGATATCTTTCTGATCAGTTATCTTTCAAATATTTTAAGATTGACATCCGTCCTTAAAATGACCAAAGTTGACTTTTTCCTTGTGTATACAAATAATCTGCCAGGCACAAACACATGAATTCCTATCAAGTTAACGGTTTTAATCTCCCATCTTTGATTGGAACTTTTACAATTTTGTAGTCTTCTAAGAATGTTTTCGTACTTTTCTGAGTGACAAAGGCTGATGAATCTGTGCTCAAGACAGAACTGTATTTAACCAAAATTTATCGACAACAGAGTTCTGATGCTGGAGAGTACAATTGTGTGGCCACAAATGATGCAGGGACATCAACAGGTGTTGCCATGCTGACTGTCAATGGTGATTATATCTTACATCCATTAGTTTCATGGACTGATTAATTTTCTAAAGTACTTTAATATTAAAACACTTTATGACCAGGAATGATTGGGGTAATCTAAAGTCAGCTTGAATTGTCTGCCTATTGAAAAATCTTTTTAGAACAACTAATCTCTCAGTCTATGATCATTTCCTTTTAATTTTTAAACGTTAACCACATCATATGTAGAAGCACGTATGTATCCAGATTACTGAAAGATTTCATTATTCCTTTGAAACATGCTATGGCTAATCACTATCATGTGTATTAAATGAACATGTCTATAAAATATATTAGTACCAACATACTGATGAGTGGGGTATTAGAGTTAACCTTTAGCTTATAGAAGAACAAGAAAAGGATACATATTAATTGATTTGTGTGTTTTAGAACCTCCACAGTTTAAGATTGAGCCGAAGAACACAACAGTCAGTATGGGGGATACCATCATGATGAACTGCGTCGCAGAAGGGGAACCAGAGCCTAACATTGTGTGGCAGCGGTCATGGCAGGATATTGAACCAGAGGAGCGGCTCACGATACTCCCGAATAACTCACTCAGGTATTATTGGGTCCTACAGCATTAATTTGTACTACCTGTGCTAAAGTAAACATAGATTCAATCACAGCTTGCTATCACATTTGTATAAACAAAATATGACATTGACACACTTTGAAGTCACAGATGTGAGATGTGTTTTCCAACCGGATTGAATAACAAGTGAGGGATACATGTACAGAAGAGCAATCGGGATCGGGACTGTTGTTTGTGATGTGTTATCATGAGTTCCTAGCAACATACATTTCTCAAAAACTGCAGTAAGTTTAACTGGGTCTATTTTTCATGATAAAAGCTTTGACAACAAAAGTTTAGAATGCATAAAAGAAAGAAGCTCTAAGATAATGGACTTGTACCGAATCAATGAAAACCATTAACATTGTTGATATCCTATTCCAGAATTATTGCAGCCCAGGTGTCAGATTCAGGAAAGGTGCAATGTAAGGCGAGTAACCGTGAAGGAATCACTGTTGTTGAGGCTTACATCACTGTTGTTGGTGAGTATGATATAGGGCGTGACTTTTTTTACTACCAAGTGCTCCCTGTCTATAACGACAACTTGATCTTCTAAGACTATTTTTGCCCTAAGTGTTGGAAACTGTTTTTTCCAGCATGACGCTAGTTTTGATAAAATTATTTCTGAGAAGAAAACCATACCTTAGGGAATTTATATGAGAAATAATAAAGATGAAATAAACAGTGAATTGAGGGTGAAATTCAGTGGGTCTAGAGCGAGATTTGAACCCAGGACTTCAGATTGTTATACTATTGCCCTAACCGATTGAGCTACCTTGTAAGCGGAAGTGTTCTGTCCAAACTTTTCTAGTTATATCCAAACGGAAGTTAAGGGTAGATTACTATATATAGGGAAAACTTAGTGCAGTGGGACAGGGAATGTTTTTTTTAGACAGATTATATGTACTCTGTTGGCCATGGTGTTAGCTAGTAGTGTAGATTTCCCCCCTTTCATTCTCATATATATGCCCACCTTTGATGGAATGTATATTAATATCATCTTGATTATACTTTGCATTTAACTCCATTACTCTGATACTAGAAATTCAACTTTCTTCAGAAGTTGATAAATCTGGAGAGAAGTACAGCAATATATCATATGTTGTTCACTGTGAATTACACTTACTCATTCTTTGATGTAGACAGTCTAGCTCTTTTTCCTTCGAAGTTGGAAAGTGAGTGGTCATAGGTTTATGTTTTACAAACATTTTCTTTAGGTTATCCCTTTTGATGAAATATTCCTGTGTTTTAGCTGTTGTAACAGCATGTGTGAATCACAATGAGTCAAACGTTGTCAGAAATATTTTATGACTGGGAAGATTTGTGTAATGTGGATAAAAAGTCTGTACCTGTATATCATTATGTAACTGAGACTTAGCAGACAAACATTCATAGCAAAATACAAACTAAGAGGCACTGATTCTGTTGGGTGTCAGTAGAGATCACAAATAGGAGTTCACAAATAGGGGAATTCAATCTGTCAGCTAATTTTGTTGCAGTTAGATGTTTGAAATTTGGATACATAAAGATACAAAGGTGGGATATTTGACACACTCCATTTTAACATATATGCAGGTGTCTACTTGCCACTAGACTAAGTAAAAGATATATATATCATGCAATAAATCTATACAAACAGCTGTATTTTGTACTGTATTTATTTTCAGTACATGGCCGTTACTCGGAGTGGTCAGAATGGGGTATGTGCAGCTCTACCTGTGGGATAGGTATCCAGTTTCGTGCCCGCACCTGTACTGACCCTGAACCTGTCAATGGCGGTAGGAAGTGTATTGGCTCCTCCCTAGACTCCAGGACCTGCATCATGGCAAGCTGTCCAGGTAAATCTTATCACAGCATCTTTATTAATCAAATGAAATTTTGAGGTTTCTGCTTCAGAAGGTTTTTAACTTTAATTTCTTGACAAGTTGTTTAGCAGTTACTACATTCTTTATATATTTACACACACATTCTATTCCAGAATATCGTAATTATTATTTTCTGTTAATTAACATATTTACATTACATCAAAGCAAACGTATGAGCAGTATGCAAAATTTTATTCATGTTATGAAATAGCTTAGCTCCTGCTTTCAGTTTCCATGTATTTTACACTTGTAGTAAATGGCGAGTGGGGTAATTGGCAGGGCTGGACTGAGTGCAGTGCTACTTGTGGAGAAGGGGAGAGATTCAGGACGAGGTTCTGTGACAACCCAAGTCCAAGGGATGGTGGACTTACCTGTCAGGGCGATGATATACATTATGACGTGTGTGGATCCCGTCCCTGTCCACGTATGTCATCACTATGAGTGTGCCATGTACCAAATACCACTGGCAAATTGTTACCCTCAGAGGACACTGGGATCATGTTATCCATCTGTCTCTTTAGACAGAAATTTGTTTGACATCTTGTACACGACCAATTTCACTAGAATTTAATACATATGCACCTATACATATCATGTGCTTGTGCAAAAATGTAATATCCTCAGCTTTTGAGGGATTTCTGTCCTTACGTTTATGTCTGGCTGGTGATCATACAAGGACCTGCATTGATGTGGTAATCTGTAGACAGGTCAATTTTTATCATGTTAAGTTTTTTTTATCAAACATCTTGATAACATGCAGTACAGAATGCTATTGCCAAAGTGATTAATTTTCTGCGAGTGTGTCCCTGTTATTAATGGTTCCCTTTTATAATGGTATAGTTATGCATTTAAACAGGCATTTCCATTTGTCTTAACCCTTGTTGACTTAGGCTCTTCTCTGTTAGGATAAATGTCTGAAGTGAAAAGGCATACATACTAGTAACATGGACAATTCTTAAACTGTAAGGATTAAAATCATATCACTGATGCAATTTTACATGATATTGTGTCTGTAGTTGACGGTCAGTGGGGGGAGTGGTCAGGGTGGAGACCGTGCTCTGTGACATGTGGGGTCGGATCTCAGGAAAGGACAAGGAGGTGTGACAGCCCAGCTCCTGCCTACAGAGGACAGTCCTGTTCTGGTGAGGCACTGGACAGGCAGCCCTGTACTGCTCGCACATGTGAAGGTATGTATGTAAAAAGTATAACGTACAGAAAAAAACTTTGAAATGAGCTTCTTCTTTGCTGTGATAATCACTCCAAAGTATGTATTCCAGGTGCTACTCTTATTGTCAATGTTACTGTTACTTTTTTTCTGGAAAAATAAAATAATTTATGCATCTCAAATTTTGACAAATCTTCATACAAGTGTTAGGTAAGGTATGGCAATACCTTAAATCAAGGTATTTCAGGGTGATGCTATGGAGGTCAAGGTCACTGTTATTATATCAAGAAAAATATTGAGATTGCTATACGGTTCTGTTCCTTTGTATGTACAGATTGGAACCACTTTGTCATCACTCAAGTGACTTATAATTAGTCTCTTAAATGTCTTCTATAAAACTTCATACAGGTGTTGGGTATGAAAGAATGTTGAATGTATGGTATGACATTATCATCAAATATACTTTCCTTCAAGCATATCTTTGATCTCCATTTAGTTGTTTAGTATGGAAAGTGAGCTAACAAATTAGATTTTACTAATATATTGTATATTGAGTTCTTGATGAGTTTTAATCACCAGTAAAATGGATTAATTCATGGATTTCCACCTATAAAAATACTACTAGTTTTTTATTTTGTTACAGTGGATGGGAGTTGGGGTTTGTGGGCTTCATGGTCAGGATGTTCCCAGTCATGTGGCGGTGGAACCCGCACACGACAGCGTGTCTGTGATAGCCCTGCTCCGCAGTATGGAGGAATGCACTGCTGGGGAAGAGATCGCCAAGTGGACTATTGTAATCCAGAAAAATGTCCAAGTTAGTTTGATTCTACGTGTTTGTGACGTATTTTTATTACAGACATGTAAGTAAGGAATCACAGAATTAGTGAGATATGGCAGTGTGACTGCTATGGACAATTATGGCCATTTGCTATGTGCGATTTTTATGGAAATCAAATCTATCAAACGACATCATGAAATAGTCTGACTTTACCATTATCAAAGGTTGTGCTCAAGTTATGAACTGGGAGAGAGCCCTTGAATCAGTTGATTTATCTGCACTGTAATCTCATCCTTAGTCAGTGGTCAAAAGAAACCTTTGTGAACATCACTGTCCTTCCGTCTATCTGAAGAGTTTGTCTATTTCACTTGGAGTAATTAAGCAGAGACAATATGCATGTACATCTTGAAATGACGGAGGTTTAGTACATGAAGTAGGTCACTGTTGCCTATAGTTTGACCTTTGACTTCAACTTAAGTTTTTCTGGGGTATATCTTCTACACTATTTCACCAGGACTAACCACATTTAGTATGCAGGTATATCTTTCTTTAACAGAAGGCTCTTTACAAGAAGGAAGTCTCTGTGATATATGCTTTGATCTTTGACTGTGTCATTTGATTTGTTTTGTATAAAGCATATCTCCTATACTATTTAACCAGGTTTGACCAAATTTAGTATGCAGGTTTATGTTACGATGGCATCATGCAGTTTATGAAAAGTATGACACTGTGATATATGCTTTGACCTTTAATCTCATTTGTTAAAAAAGTTTGTCCAAAGCTTAACTTCTAAACTGCTTCTCCTGTAGTAACTAAATTTGGTATGCAGCTATACCTGAGATGACTAAATTTCTGTACCACGAGCAAGTCAGTGTGACATTATTTTGACCTCTGACTGCAATCGTTATTTTTTTTTTAACATGTCCTATATCAGTATAATTGATTACAATAGGTTGATCCTGTGATAGGTGTACAGCTTTGTAAATAAAGTTATCATTACCAGTGGGGAACTATAGATTGCATTGCTATACTTTGCCATGTTCTCTAGTTGTGCATGCTCTAGAATGCGAAAAGGATCAGTGAATCTACCATGTAACATGCCCCTTGAAAATCAAGTCGCAACACTTGGTTTGCATGATCACTTTGGTACCTGTAGATGTGGTTGTTCGAGATGAGAACAGACATATAAAAACCTACCACAGGTACATACATACCAGCAACATTTTATGCTCTTTCAATGGTGGGTGCCATTAAGCCTCTTTAGACTTGTATAGTTGATATACTAGACTAGATGTATGTACATCACATGTACATGCTACTATATAGCATTTTTTTTTCTCCATGACATTGATGCTCTTCTCTTAATTGCTATTTGTGAAGTTTACAAACGTTTTAGTACAATGTTATACTAGTAAAAAACCTTTCCTTTTTAGTTAAATTTAAAATGAAATATTTCTGATGAAATATGGGTAAGTTTGCCATATTGTAGAAAAATCTATGATTTGTTACAGCAACATAATAAAAGTAATTAATCCTTCATTGCAGGGCATGGAAACTGGGAATTATGGGAGAGCTGGGGGGCATGTTCTGCCAGTTGTGGAACAGGCATGAGGAAACGGTTCCGAACCTGTACCAACCCTCCACCTAGTCGTAATGGCAGACCATGTCTTGGTTCAGGAGAGATTACCAAAACCTGCAACACAATTTCCTGTCCTGGTAAGTAAATGACAAACTGAACAATTCTGTTTATTTTTGCATTGTTGTTAAATGATTGAAAACATTTTATGGTAGCTGATATCTCCTTATATGGATGTCATTCATCCACATTTCATTCATACTGTAGTGACGCCATTGTTGCAATTGGATGCGTAAAAATGAGACCACGCCTATTTTGGAGAAATATGCAAGAATAAACCTACGTAAAAATTTGCTGTAAAACTCATCTCTATTTACCTTTTGGGAACCTTTGATTTGGCCGTCATTTTTTTTTTCTTTTTTTTCATGAAATATGTAAAATAGGTACAACCTAGTTATATATCCATATCAATTTACTTGTGTTTGTGATAGTGAACGGTGAGTGGAGAGACTGGTCATACTGGTCGCCATGCTCTGTGACATGTGGAGAGGGGTACAGGGAGAGACAGCGCCAGTGTAGCAACCCTCGACATGGCGGCAGCTCCTGCCAGGGCAACACTATACAGAGGGATGACTGTGTCCTGCCTGCATGCTCTAGTATGTATTTTTTTTATGTATTTTAATGGCTTCAACTAAAATTAACCTGTCAGCATTTAAATCTCAATACCCGAAATGTCCAATCCAATTCTAAAGACAGTATATACAGGTATGTATGTTGTGTTGCTTTACCTGTATTATCAAGTCTCCAATTACACAGATAATTCATTAATTAAAAATTTACCAACCAAACTGTTTACTGCTCATGTTATTCCATTTAAAATATGTGTAAATTAGAAAATATTTTTTATGACTTCTACTCAACCAAAAAAATAAAAAAAGAAACCAACTGAATAATTTTGATTAAGCCCCCACTTTGATTTATTGTATGACTTGAAATATATGCATCATTAGATGGAAATATTTACATAATAATGCAGCTCATGTTTTTTTTTACCTTGAACTGAAGTGGGTCTGTTTTAGTGAATATGTTGACTTATTACAGATTTCCCACGGCGGGCGGAAGGTAACTTGGTAGGTTACATAAACAGCATAGACCTACCTGATGCCACTTTGAGTGCCACCATTACCCCCACTGACAGCGGTACAACCTTGGTGGAGGCCACACTGCACAACGTGCCACAATCTATTGGTAATTTCTGTTCACTGCAAAAGTTCACTGTACAGTGAACCACTTTATTGATAAGCTAAGTTTACTATGTGTGACATAGCCTACTGGAAAGCTTAGTTTACCAAGCACCTCAGTCTATTGATAGGCTAGATAAGCTACAGGTTCACTGTACATTGTGTCAGTCTATTGGTAACCTGTAAGTTCATTGTAGTGTGCTGAATCTGTTTGATAAGCAATGTTCACTGTCAATGTACTGTTAGTGTACTATNCTATGTACCACAACCTATTGGTAAGCTAGGTTCACTCCGTGTACTACAACCTATTGGTAAGCTAAGTTCACTATGCACCACAACCTATAGGTAAGCTTAGTTCACTATGTACCACAACCTATTGGTAAGCTAGGTTCACTCCGTGTACTACAACCTATTGGTAAGCTAAGTTCACTATGCACCACAACCTATAGGTAAGCTTAGTTCACTATGCACCACAACCTATTGGAAAGCTAGGTTCACTGTCAATGCACTACAACCTATTGGTAAGCTAAGTTCACTATGCACCACAACCTATAGGTAAGCTAATTTCACTATGCACCACAACCTATAGGTAAGCTAAGTTCACTATGTACCACAACCTATAGGTTAGCTAATTTCACTACCAGTGTAAAAAAAACTATTGGAAAGCTAGGTTCACTGTCAATGTACTACAACCTATTGGTAAGCTAATTTCACTATGTACCACAACCTATTGGTAAGCTAATTTCACTATGTACCACAACCCATTGGTAAGCTAATTTCACTATGTACCACAACCTATTGGTAAGCTAAGTTCACTCCATGTACCACAACCTATTGGTAAGCTATGTTCACTCCATGTACTACAACCTATTGGTAAGCTAATTTCACTATGTACCACAACCTATTGGTAAGCTATGTTCACTCCATGTACTACAACCTATTGGTAAGCTAAGTTCACTATGCACCACAACCTATAGGTAAGCTAAGTTCACTATGCACCACAACCTATAGGTAAGCTAAGTTCACTATGCACCACAACCTATAGGTAAGCTAAGTTCACTATGCACCACAACCTATAGGTAAGCTAAGTTCACTATGCACCACAACCTATAGGTAAGCTAAGTTCACTATGCACCACAACCTATAGGTAAGCTAAGTTCACTATGCACCACAACCTATAGGTAAGCTAAGTTCACTATG